TTGGTCTCTATCAAACTAAGTTTTCATGCTATAAAATATTACACTGGTTATCAGACTGTACTACTTGGCCCTCTGAAAATATGACTGCCTTTAAACATTTTTTCCAGGAGGAGGGACATTCCTGTACCCATTCTTGTCAGGAACTATAAAAGATGGCTGCAACAGCAGCTCAACAGCTCTCACATTTCCATTGATACAAGGCACCCATGCTAGGTGGCACTCTAAGGGCCAATCACTCTGTCATAATAGGACTTATTCTACATTGAATTAGACTCTTTCCAGGCAAAATCTTGTTAAAGTGGAGTTCCAGGTACACTGTAAAAAAATAAAAGTCAGCAACTACAAAAACTGTAGCTGCTGACTCTTAAAAAAACATCCACTTACCTGCCCCTCGATCCCGCGGTGTCCTTCCCACAGCCTGTTTTGCTGGCCATCCAATGATCCCGGTGTCAGCATCTTCAGTGCGACAGATGGCAGCTTCGCAGCCCGGTGCAGAGTGCGCATGCGTGAGTAGTGCTCCACTTTCTGAATGGTCCCATAGTCTTCTGCAGCCGGTCACATGTCCCTGAAGGCTATGGGGAGGGGGGCAGCTTCCACTTCTGATTATCTAGGTGATCACAGGGGAAGTGGGAGCGGGTACCTGTCCATTTTGGGTACCCGCTCCCCAAAGGTGCCAATCCTTAATGGGGAGAGGGAGACCAGTCTTTAAAGCAGAACTTTCCCTTTTGGATGGAGCTCCACTTTAAGTACTTTCAATTTTTTATTACTATATATTTTACTGTTTCTCATTGTCAATTTTCCATGTATTTTACTGTAAATATTTTTCTTGCACCATTTTCTTGTCTTTTTATTAAACAATATTTTAAAATCGTTAAGCTTTATCTCTAATGCGCTAAATAAGAAGAATTCTTGTCTACCGTACTTGAAACCGATATTTCCTAAAGGTCAAAATTTCTATTCCAGTGTGAATGGTTCCTTTAAAATTTGTGGTGGCAGCTAGGTTGTTGCCTTGCAAGCTGGAAATCTTTGTTCAAGGTGAGACTGAGAAGGCCATTCACAATGCCGGCCATTTGTTACACAGTTGAAATACATTATATCCTCTTTGGCTTGATGCTTATGAAGCTTCTTAAAAAACACACCTGCCTGTATTCTGTGTCTATAATATACAGTATACACTATATTGCCAAAAGTATTGGGCCGCTGGCCTTTTCACACACATGACCTTTAATGACCTCCCAGTCTTAGTCCGTAGGGTTCAATATTGAGTTGGCTCCGCCCTTTGCAGCTATAACAGCTTCAACTCTTCTGGGAAGGCCGCCCACAAGGTTTAGGAGGGTGTCTATGGGAAGGTTGGACCATTCTTCCAGAAGCACATTTGTCAGGTCAGGCACTGATGTCGGGGGAGGAGGCCTGGCTCGCAGTCTCCGCTCTAATTCATCCCAAAGGTGTTCTATGGGGTTGAGATCTTCCGATTCATTTTATTGCAACAATTTTTTGTAATAAACATTTACTGCTTTATACTTCTGTATACTCACGGTGCTCTTTGCCATACAAAGTCCCAGGAAGATATCTTTACATTTTTTCTTGGTCTTTATAGATTGGGATGTTGGCAAAAACAGTATAAATGGTGGGATGTTTTACCATATTTTTCATCTTTGTATATCGGGTTGAGGTCAGGGCAGTCAAGTTCCTCCACCCCAAACTGGCTCCTTCATGTCTTTATGGACCTTGGTTTGTGCACTGGTGCGCAGTCATGCTGGAACAGGAAGTGGCCATCCCCAAACTCTTCCCACAAAGTTGCGAGAACTGGTACTAGGGGGCCATGCCCAACCCATGAAAAAACATCTCCGCACCATAATCCCTCCTCCACCAAACTTTACACTTGGCACAATGCAGTCAGGCAAGTACCGTTCTCCTGGCCACTGCCAACCCCATACACATCCATAGGATTGCCAGACAGAGAAGCGTGATTGATCACTCCAGAGAACATGTCTGCACTGCTCTATAGTCCAGTGGCGGCGTGCTTTACACCACAGCATCCGGCGCTTTGCATGGCGCTTGGTGATGGAAGGCTTGGATGCAGCTGCTCGGCCATGGAAACCCATTCCATGAAGCTCTCTATGCACTGTTGTTGGGCTCATCTGAAGGCCACACCAAGTTTGGAGGTCTTTAGCTATTGACTCTGCAGACAACTTTTGCGCACTGTGCTGACCCCACCCTGTCATGTGACGTGGCCTACCACTTGGTGGCTGAGTGGCTGTTGTTTCTAGTTGCTTCCACTTTGTTATAATCCCACTAACAGTTGAGTGTGGAATATTTAGTGGCCAGGAAATGTCACGGATGGACTTATTGCCCAGGTGGCCACCTATCACGGGACCACGCTTGGAGCCATTGAGCTCCTGAGAGCGACCCATTCTTTCACCAATGTTTGTAGAAGCAGTCTGCATGCCTAGGGGCTTGATTGTATACACCTGTGACCATGGAGGGGATTGGAACACCTGAATCACATGATATGGAGGGGATTGGAACACCTGATCACATGATTTGGAAAGGCGTCCCAATACTTTTGCAATATAGTGTGTGTGTGTGTGTATATATATATATACACACACACACACACACACACACACACACACACACACACACAGGTGAAACTCGAAAAATTAGAATATTGTGCAAAAGTTCATTTATTTCAGTGCAGCAACTTAAAAGGTGAAACTAATATATGAGACTCATTCCATGCAAAGCAAGATAGTTCCAGCCGTGATTTGTCATCATTGTTATGATTATGGCTTACAGCTCATGAAAACCCCAAATCCACAATCTCAGAAAATGAGAATATTGTGAAAAGGTGGAATATTCTCGGCTCAAAGTGTCCCACTCTAATCAGCTCATTCAGCCATAACACCTGCAAAGGGTTCCTGAGCCTTTCAATGGTCTCCCAGTCTGGTTCAGTGGGAATCACAATCATGGGAAAGACTGCTGGCCTGACACCATCATTGACACCCTCCATAAGGAGGGAAAGCCTCAAAAGGTAATTGCAGAAGAAGTTGGATGTTCCCAAAGTGCTGCATCAAAGCACATTAATAGAAAGTTATGTGGAAGGGAAAAGTGTGGAAGAAAAAGGTGCACAAGCAGCAGGGATGACCGCAGCCTGGAGAGGATTGTCAGGAAAAGGCCATTCAAAAGTGTTGGGTACTTTCACAAGGAGAGGACTGAGGCTGGAGTCAGTGTATCAAGAGCCACCACACACAGACGGATTCTGGACATGGGCTTCAAATGTTATATTCCTCTTGTCAAGCCACTCCTGAACAACAAACAACATCAGAAGCATCTTGGGCTAAAGAAAACCAGACTTGGTCTGTTGCTCAGTGGTCCAAAGTCCTCTTTTCTGATGAGACAACTTTTGCATTTCATTTGGAAACCAAGGACCCCGAGAATCTATGGGGCATTGCCAAGAGAAAGATGAGAGACATGAGACCGAACAATGCAGAAGAGCTGAAGGCCGCTATTGAAGCATCCTGGTCTTCCATAACACCTCAGCAGTGCCACAGGCTGATAGCTTCCATGCCACGCCGCATTGAGGCAGTAATTGCTGCAAAACGGGCCCAAACCAAGTACTGAGTACATATGCAGCTTCTACTTTTCAGAGGTCCGATATTGTTCTATGTACAATCCGTGTTTTATTGATTGCATGGAATATTCTCATTTTCTGAGATTGTGGATTTGGGGTTTTCATGAGCTGTAAGCCATAATCATCACAATGATGACAAATCACGGCTGGAACTATCTTGCTTTGCATGGAATGAGTCTCATATATTAGTTTCATCTTTTAAGTTGCTGCACTGAAATAATCACAAGAGATGAACAACAACTGTTTGTGATAGCATGGATCATGACAGGTCCTCTTTATGGAGTGATCTGATGTCTTGTTAGACACCAGATCAATCTTCTGCCCCTCTCCAAAGTATCTGATCAAACTAAAGATCGATTTGATTAGAGGTTGTAAACAAAACAAAACTGGAAGTGAGAAAATCCTCATCTCTTCTGGTCTCTGAACTCACAGAGAGGGAGGAATAGCATCCATTCTGCTCACAGCCGAGTACAGCATCAGATGTGGCTGAGAACAGGAAAGGTGGCAGCTGTGGAAAAGGGGAGGAGGGGGGGGCTCTTTTGCAGCCTGTAAAAGTGATCCAATGGTTGTGACTTGTAGTTCATCAACTGGAGGGCTGCGGTTTGAAACCTGTGCTCTAGGGCAGGGGTGGGCAACTGTGGCCCTCCAGCTGTTGTAGAACTACAAGTCCCATGAGGCATTGCAAAACTGACAGTTACAAGCATGACTCCCAAAGGCAGAGGCATGATGGGACTTGCAGTTCACCAACAGCTGGATGGCCACAGTTGCCCACCCCTGCTCTAGGGAGTAGCCAGCAGAGGAAGCGGTGAATATAAACCCCGCCTCCTGAGCAACATCAGGGGGTGGCCAGCATTGGAGGCCGTAAAGAATCCAGGGGATAATGGAAGTTGAGGAGGAACATCCTTCAACCCACCCACCAAAGCTGAGATAGTACAGAACAGGGAAAACCAGGACATTCACTTCGACTCCCCAGACACCAGATGCATTTGAAGGCTTTATTTTCACTTTTGGAAGGATTGAACCCTTTTAAGACCATTCCAAAAAAAAAAGTCCATTAAGAAAAAATTCCATACATAAAATACAATTTTCAGTGTCTTGATAAAGATTCCAAAGGAGGTCTCTACCCAAAACTGATCATTTAGTCTTTGGTGGACTCAGCCAGTAGCTTCTGATCCCCCCCACTTGTAGCAACATCACAAGGTAGGGGGAGATGTGACCATGGGTGAACAGACCATAAAGGCAAAGTTCCTAAGAGATGAAAGAAGCCAGCGAGTGAATCAGATTGTCATTCACCTGTCAGGTCAGTTCTGGGTGGAGCACCCATCATATTCCTTGTGAAAAAAAGAAGAGGCGGAGCTATTCTGCATTATAACAGTCCGGGATCTGCAGCCCTCTTGGAGTTCTTAGAAAGCATCTCTTGTAGGTCATTCGGGAGGAACCGGATTGTGTGCCACCCTTCCTCTTCAGACATGTCGCGCCCCACGCAGGATTGGTAGAATGAGATGGCCGGCTGGTTCCAGTTATGGACAAAAAGCAGCAAACAGGCGCAGCCCAGAGACCGGCACAGCTGTGGAGAGAGGAGAGACACAGTGAGGACCGGCACAGCCACCATTATATTGTAACATCAGCTGACCCCCCATCCAAGGGATGGTCTTGTTACTACACCACACCAAGTAGGGGGTCCCATGTCCATCCAGTGTATTCTCAGCTCTGGTGTTGGCGTATACACCCCACTATGTTCTTTTATTCTAAAGAGTTGGTTTCCACTTATATGGGTGGGGCCTAACATAGCAAAAGTGGGTGTGTCCATGAATCCATCTTCTTTGGGTCAGTCTGGCCACTGTCTGGGGTGCAGTACGCTTATGTGGCTTATCCTGCACTACTTGTTCAACAAAGATGCTGGTTTCAGTGGTGAACACACCAGTCTGGGGGCTGCAGATCTCAATATTACTAATAAACACATTGGGGATGAATAAAGGAAAATAGTCTGCGCACTGCGGTTGCTTCATATCCGAGGGGGAAGCTCTGAAATGAGGTGAAGCTCTGCGGATTTCTGTCATCAAATCATGTCCAGGCAAAATAGTGTTTTTTATTTTCCTTGCATGTTCCTCTCAGATCTAGAGAAACTGCACCTTCACGTGAACGTGGAGTACACAGCCTACTCGCCTTTAGTAATTCAACCCCATCGTGAGAACGAGAAATCAGAAGAATTTTAGAGTTATGAAGTGTTCCTGCATGGCGACCACTTCCTGTTATCTCACATATAGATTCTTATTATTAGAGCCAAATTTACCCCCCTAACTCCTCCCACAGTTTTTACACTCCATAGACAGTAATATACGGAAACGTGCGGATTGTTCCCGATTGGTGGGCTATTACTTTGTGGAACATTTCGCCAAATGGTTCACAAAATATTGGCGTTTTTGTGGTGAAATTGGTCCCATAGGAATGAATAGCGGAATGTTCAAAACTAGAGTGGGAGCTGACAAAAGCTAGAATGTGAGCTGAGAAATCAGGACATGATTTGTAAACTGCCATCACTCCCTCATTTTCAAGCCCACCTACACAAATCTTATATCAAAACATTCAGCTATCCCGGCTGCCACTAAAAATGTTCACGGCTAAGCCATAGTCCTGATAGTTTTCACAATATGACCATTTGTTTGCAACTCATGCCGCCCATTGACATTCATTGAAACTCCACTCTAGCCACCTCAAATTTGAAGGGCAGTTTCTAAACTGCGACTGTGCCTTCATTTTTAATATTTCAGAGACATTCTATGCATCAAAATGTAGGTCTGGGTCTTGTGATTCTCACAATATAAAGCTCTTCAGTGTAGAGTTTGCCATCTTTAAACGGTTGTAGTTTAAAAATTGTAATCACCAGTGAAGTGAGCAAGTTGGAGCAGTTTGTTTTTTTTAACAGCTCTTCTGTGCCCTTGCAGTAGAGTGAGTTGCCACAGGAACCCACTACTGGTGGAGGCAAGAACACTTCACACAATTTCCCCAGAAATTGTAGCTTTTCTAGTTCTACATGAGATTGATACAAAGTTTACAGTACAGGGATTAGATGATATTATTAATAAAACAGAAGTGGCTGACTGGCAATTACAGCCTGCAATGTGATATCGGTCTCGGTGTCCCCATCTCCAGGACTGTAAGCACCAATTCCGCCTCCTCCTAGGACTAGGAGGGAACACATGTGTGTGCAGCTAGTTCAGGTGTCTGCAACCTTTAAGACATAAAGAGCCACTTGGACCCGTTTCCGAGAGGGAAAAAAAGACTGGGAGCCGCAAAACCATTGCAACATTTAAAACAAATCCGACACTGCATATATTGCAAAAAGCGCTCTGGTCATGAAGGGGGTTTAAGGGCCCAGTAAGCAAAGGGTTAATCAGGCCCACAGTGTATCGTAATAATCACAATCATAGCCTTAGGTCAGTGGTGGGCAACCTTTTTTTTCAACTGAGCCAAATCTCGCCAAAACCACGATTGAAATTTATTTTGAGAGCCACATTTTTAAAACTGAAAATACATCCCCCATATAGTAATTCATCCCCCATATAGTAATTCATCCCCCATATAGTAATTCACCCCCCCCTATAGTAATTCATCCCCCATATAGTAATTCATCCCCCATATAGTAATTCATCCCCCCCTATAGTAATTCATCCCCCCCTATAGTAATTCATTCCCCCCTATAGTAATTCATCCCCCCCTATAGTAATTCATTCCCCCCTATAGTAATTCATTCCCCCCTGTGTCAATTCACTTACCTTTGCTCCGCGCGTTCCTCTCGCCGTGTTCCCGCGCCGTTCCGGTCTTCAGGGCGGACTGTGAGAGGAGAGGAGTTAGTCACGCTGCCCCGCCTACATCCTGACAGCCAATGTTTGTCTGCCGGGCCGTAGTTTGCCCATTGCTGGGCTAGCTGCAGAGTCCTGACTTTTGGGGCGGCCGCCCGAGAGGAGGGAGGGGAGCGGGCGCCCGGCACACAGAAGAGCTGCATTAAAAGAGCCGCGGCTTGCCGACCACTGAGCTACGGCAACCCTATTGCCTGTCACCTGGTGGGCAGTGTGCTCCGGAGCCGCAGCAAAGGTGAAAAAGAGCCGCATGCGGCTCTGGAGCCGCGGGTTGCCGACACCCGAGCTAGTTCTACAATGGAATATTTCAGTGCGCTTAGTATGGGGAACAGTGCCTGAGCATGAACCTATAGAGTGCTATTGGGGGATTTGTTGATACCTTTTCTAGGTCATAGTAGGTGTGAGACTCTAAACATCACCCATCTCTCTATCCAACCATCCACACAGTAATATATATATATATATATTATACACACACACTCTCACATGTATGAGAGTATTGGGCCAGACCTCCAAATCATGTGATTCAGGTGCTCCAATCCCCTCCATGGACACAGGTGTATACAATCAAGCCCCTAGGCATGCAGACGGCTTCTACAAACATTGGTGAAAGAATGGGTCGCTCTCAGGAGCTCAGTGACTCCAAGCGTGGTCCCGTGATAGGTGGCCACCTGTGCAATAAGTCCATCTGTGACATTTCCTGGCTACTAAATATTCCACGCTCAACTGTTAGTGGGATTATAACAAAGTGGAAGCAACTGGGAACAACAGCCACTCAGCCACCAAGTGGTAGGCCACGTCACATGACAGGGCGGGGTCAGCGCATGCTGAAGCGCACAGTGTGCAGAAGTCTCCAATAGTCAGTAGCCAAACACCTCCATACTTTGTTTGGCCTTCAGATCACCAAGTGCAATAAAAAGCATCGGATGCCGTGGTGTAAAGCACAATGCCACTGGACTCTAGAGCAGAGGAGATGTGTTCTCTGGAGTGACCATCACACTTTTCTGTCTGGCAGTCCAATGGACGTGTCTGGGTTTTGCAGTTGCCAGGAGAACGGTACTTGCCTGACTGCATTGTACCAAGTGTAAAGTTTGGTGGAGGGGAGATTATGGTGGGGGTTGTTTTTCAGGGGTTGGGCTTGGCCCCCTAGTTCTAGTGAAGGGAACTCTTAAGGGGACATTTTGGACAATTTCATGCTCCCAACTTTGTGGGAAGAGTTTGGGGATGGCCCCTTCCTGTTGCAACATGACTGCTCACCAGTGCACAAAGCCGGGTCCATAAAGACATGGAGGAGCCAGTTTGGGGTGCAGGAACTTGACTGTCCTGCACAGAGTCCTGACCTCAACCCCATAGAACACCTTTGGGATGAATTAGAGTGGAGACTGCGAGCCAGGCCTCCTCCCCCGACATCAGTGCCTGACCTGACAAATGTGCTTCTGGAAGAATGGTCCAACCTTCCCATAGACACCCTCCTAAACCTTGTGGACGGCCTTCCCAGAAGAGTTGAAGCTGTTATAGCTGCAAAGGGTGGGGCCAACTCAATATTGAACCCTACGGACTAAGACTGGGGGGCCATTAAAGGTCATGTGTGTGGAAAGGGCGGGGCCAACTCAATATTGAACCCTACGAACTAAGACTGGGGGGCCATTAAAGGTCATGTGTGTGGAAAGGCAGGCGGCCCAATACTTTTGCTAATATAGTGTGTGTAATATATATTTTTTTATTTCTATATTGGAACACTAAACAGTACCCTTAGGGTGTATGAATCCTGATGTATAGACGGCGTGTACTCACCTCTGCTGTCGCCATCATCAGCTTGGAGCCGATGCCTTTACCTGCCAGAGACAAGAAGGGTCAGTATAGGGAGGAGACCCGCCATGCCCATTTTTTCTATAGGAGAGGAAGGCAGCTATAATGATACCACTATCAGTGCTGCACACAGGGGCCCGGGGAGAAGAGGGGCCCATGGTGTCATTTTGAAGTTATTGTAATATCGATCCACACAGCATCTCTGTAATCCCATGACCGTTTCCTATCCAGGTCTGTCCTGACTTCCACTAGTGGTTATCCAGATACCAGACTGCATTAGGCATCCCTGCTAAACAATGGCGGATTTCCAGGAAAAGGTCGTTAATTGGTTTGAAATGATTACTAGGAGATGCCCATTAAATGAGACAGCCAATTTGACTCAAGCTGATGGGGCGGAAGGACAGAAGTGTTTGTTCATGCGTCACAGAGATAGACAGCAAAAAAAAGGAAACAAGTAAAATGGAGTGTTTTGCAAATGGAAATTTAGACCTTCTGTTTCTCCATTGGGAGCATAGGCATCAGCATTGTGAATACTGGGCCCCTCCCCCACCCTTGAATCATCACTGTGAGGGTAAATCCAATACTGAGATATGTCATGGAAATTTTGTATTGTTGGTTGAACTTTAAATGTGTCATATATTCGTGTTATTCATATGTCTCTCGTGTGGCTTAATTAAAGCTCTGAAGGCTGCAATTGGGCCATGCGCATGTACAATGTATGTATTACAGTACTCAGCTCGGTAATGGATGAGATGGCGGATCTGCGCTTATAGACCGGCGTGTATACCACCACGGCATTCGATGCGAATGCCACTGGCAGTAGACCGCGGGCCTGTATCCACATATCAGCAGCATAGTACCACATGGACTTCATAACGCAAGGCGCCAAGCGGTACGAACTCCGCGTGTAGGCTTATGCATATCTTACAACCCATTACCAATCTGAACTGTATCTTGGATGGATGTGTTTTAATAAAGATCGTATCGGGCCCATCCAGGTACAGACTGGTGTTTACCTTAGGGGATGCTTGTACAGAGAATTTACATACCAATAGGAGCTAGTAGGACAGGAAGTTTGCTGACCTCAGAAGGCTCATGGGGGGGAAGGGGAGGAAGTCTGCTGACCTCAGAAGGCTCATGGGGGAGGACCAGTGATAGATAATAGGAAAGGCTATGCTCCAATCGGAATGTATATCCCGTGTATAGGCACTCCCCATTGCATTGTTCGGTGGGAGGGGATTGACTTTATTCATGTGGGGGGCGTGTCTGCTTGTAATAAAACCGGGGGCTGAGTCTGAAACCGGCCCTTATGTGAATTGCAACACCAACCTTAGAGTGTCGTGTGATCATTCTAGGGTAAGGGAGCTCCATCACCCACATTTCAACAGAAGCTAAAGTAGCTGGATGGGCAGGAATCGTGTAGTTTAGCTGCAGTCGTGGTAAGCGAGATTCGCACAGCTTTATGGGGGATTTCTGCGCATCCAACTGCGAGTACTCACGGTAAGGAGAAATTCATTAAAGCGAATTTCCAAGACAGATATAAAAAGGACGGGTTCAATTTCTCTTTGAAGGAGGGAAAAAAGGGGGGGGGTGGAAGAGGAGAGAAAGAAGAAAAAGGAAAGAAAAAAAAAAAAAAGGGAAGAAAGAAATGTTCTAACTTTACATATATGTTTTAGTTTCTGCTATCACCCTTATCCCCCAAAATATATAAAAAGCTTAAAAAAAACTTTTCTGCTGAAAAAGGATAAATTCAGCCTCAGGTTCTCTTTTTTTGTCCAACTAAAAACACAACTTTAAATATTCCTTCAAACCTCCAATGTAGAGAAATGTCCCAGAGGAGGAAAATATTGAACTTATGGGACCAGTCCATCTACTATTTTTACATTACACTAGGACATCCTATATCTGGGCGAGTGATCATGTGATCTGGTTGGTTCTCCTCTCCCCATTGAAGATCCGGTATACTCCACCTCTGTACTGCGGCATGACATAGATGTTCTCCAGGTACAGTGATCGCCCCCAAAATGCTGTGTAGATGTAGTGGGACAGGGTGTAACCCACCAGCCGCAGCCCTGAAAACATAAGAATAGGAATTAACCAGTCTAGAGTTCATAGCCTGTGAATTGGGAATAAAAAACAAACAAACAAAAACAACTTTTTTTTCTTTTTAAATAAAAACACCACAATGGTCTGGGGTCCCCCTTGTCTATACTAGACTCTTTAGGTCCCGTAGGAAGGTTAGGAAGGACCCCACAGGAAAAAAAAAAAAATCTTTAAAAAAACAAAACAAAAAAAAAGTGCATGGGGTTCTCCCTAAAAGCCATACCAGGCCCTTGATCCGAGCAGGTTAGGAAGGGGTAGGGGGGAAACAAATGAGGTCCCCCACTACCCTGGGCCTTACCAGGCCATATGTCCTTGGCATAGGGACTGTGTCCCCATGCCAATAAGGACAAGGGCCTTTTCCCCACAACCCTGGCTGGTGGTTGTGGGGGGTCTGTGGACAGGGGGCTTCTCAAAATCTGGAAATCACCTTTACCAAGGGAGCCCCCAGATACCGGTGCCCCCCCCCCCCCCCTTTACATGTTTGTAAAGGGGACCTGCCACCACTTTATAAATAAAATAATGAAAATAAGTATTTGGGAATGTACAAAACAAAAAAAAAAGGATTTCAAACAAAAGGAGTACAGAGGTGGGGGAGGAGCTGCGGGAAGAAGACCAGAAGTGAGGTGAGATGAGGGGCTATGGGATGGAGACCAGAGGTGAGTTGAGGTGAAGTGCTATGGGATGGAGACCAGAGGTGAGGTGAGGTGTTATGGGATGGAGACCAGAGGTGAGGTGAGGCGCTATGGGATGGAGACCAGAGGTGAGGTGAGGCGCTATGGGATGGAGACCAGAGGTGAGGTGAGGCGCTATGGGATGGAGACCAGAGGTGAGGGGCTATGGGATGGAGACCAGAGGTGAGGTGAGGTGAGGTGCTATGGGATGGAGACCAGAGGTGAGGTGCTATGGGATGGAGACCAGAGGTGAGGGGAGGAGAGGAGCTATGGGATGAAGAACAGAGGTGAGGGGAGGGGCTATGGGATGGAGAACAGAGGTGAGGGGAGGAGAGGAGCTATGGGATGGAGAACAGAGGTGAGGGGAGGGGCTAAGGGATGAAGAACAGAGGTGATACAGGTTCATTCTTGCATGAATTACAAATCTATATTGTGCTGCTTGTATTAGAGGGAAATAATAGACTGATAATGCCCCCTAATGCTGCATTTCTCATAGCTGATACAAAGTTGCTCTCTGGTTGGATTTCCTTTGGATTCATTGATGTTCTTCCTTCAATATGTTTATATGAATGCAACTTTGTATCAGTTATGGGAATTCTTCTTCTGGACGGAGAAATGATGGGATAGCTGCCCTCTGCTGGACACAAGTGTATATTGTACTTCCCCAGATTTTCATGGTGGTAATAATGCCAAACACAGAGCTCCTCCCACAATGGGGAGATTTCCCTGCAGTAGTTGGTGTCTCTGCCCCTCCCACAATGGGGAGATTTCCCCCAGTAGTTGGTGTCTCTGCCCCTCCCACATTGGGGAGATTTACCCCTCCTGATACCTTCTGCTCTTTTCTGTTCATCTTCTTCCTCGACCACCAGGCAGCGGAATAGAGGGGAGGGCTCCTCGAAGCCGTCACGGCGCAGCCCTGTGGAAAGAAAAAAAAACAAATAAACAGAGATTGGTAAATATGGATGCCAACAACTAATTAGCCTGGACATAAAGTACAGGGGAGTGCAGAGGCGGCTCTGTAATGAAGCAAATGAGATGGATGCATAAGGCTTTGCGCTCACAGGGGCCCTGCGGCCTCCTAATCTACCTATCACAGTAGCGGACTGGGCCTCTCTGCTGCCAGTAAAGAGGCTGTGCTGCTTCTGCCTCGGAATGTTGGTGTCCCGGGGATCCATACGTCCCCCCGCTGCATTGTTGGCGGACCCCATCCTGATCCGGCCTCCCAGCAGTGGCAGGTTTGTGGATGGCTCTCCTCTGCCTGCTTGGATGGACTTCACCGGGTCTCTGATGACTCGTGCAGACATGCAGCACCATCACAGGCCGGCTGAGACAGAAACGGCAGATATTACATCGCAGCAACTGTGCCGGTATTGTACTCATGTGGGTGAGACCGGCTAGTCATTCGGGTGTCTAATCAGATTCAGACGTCAGCTGGAGGGTTACCTTGCTTTGTGTGACCCGGGGGCGACAAGGAATGTGCCCTGTGCCACGGAATTTGTACCACAGAATGTGCCCTGTCCCACGGAATGTGTAATGTGCCTTGTCCCATAATAATGTGCTCTGTCTTGTGTGATGTGCTCTGTGCCCTCTCCCACACTATGTTCCCTGTGCTTTTCCCATGTAATGTGTCCTGTTCCATGCAATATACCATGTGCTCTGTCCCATGTAGTGTGCCCTGCCTCCATGTAATGTGCCTTGCCCCCCCCCCCCCCATACTGTACAGTTGTGTTCAAAATAATAGCAGTGTGTTGAAAAAAAGTGAATAAAGCTGAAAATCCTAATAGCTTTTATTTCCATCCACACAAATGCATTGGGAACACGACACATTCTATTCCAAATCACCACATGGAGAAAAATACATCAAATTTGTGTTGTTCCTCTAAAAAGATGGAAGAAAAGTGAATATTAGACGGTTCAAAAAAATGGCCGTGTTTGTATTCTTCTTTACAAACTCCAACATTCACTATATAAACTGAGAAATGTTTGAAGATTTTGCTTTCCTTTGAATGACTTCATGAATATTTGGTTGTAGTCGCACTGTTTCTGAGAACTGCTGTACATCTGTGTTGCATGGAGTCCCCCAACTTCTGGCCCCTGTGATCAGGTATTCCAGCCCAGGATGATTGGACCACATTCCACAGTTCTTCTCTATTTCTTGGTTTTGCCTCAGAAACTGCATTTTTGATGTCACCCCACAAGTTTTCTATTGGATGAAGATCCGAGGATTGGGCTGGCCACTCCATAATGTCCATCTTGTTGGTCTGGAACCAAGATGTTGCACGTTTACTGGTGTGTTTGGGGTCGTTGTCTTGTTGGAACACCCATTTCAAGGGCATTTCCTCTTCAGCATAAGGCAGCATGACCTCTTTAAGTATTCTGATGGATTCAAACTGATCCATGATCTCTGGTATGCGATAAATAGGCCCAACACCGTAGTATGAGAAACATCCCCATATCATGATGCTTGCACCACCATGCTTCACAGTCTTCACAGTGTACTGTGGCTGGAATTCAGTGTTTGGGGGTCGTCTGACAAACTGTCTCCGCCCACTAGACCCAAAAAGAACAATCTTACTTCCATCAGCCCACAAAATGTTGCGCCATTTCTCTTTAGGCCGGTCAATGTGCTCTTTGGCAGATTGTAACCTCTTCAGCACGTCTTTTTTCCAACAGTGGGACTTTGCGGGGACTTCTTGCAGATAGCTTGGCTTCACATCGGCGTCTTCTAATTGTAACAGTCCTCACAGGGAACGTCACACCTTCTTTCATCTTCCTGGAGCTGATTGTTGGCTGAGTCCGCCCCATTTTGGCTATTCTTCTATCCATTCCAATGGTAGTTTTTCGCTTTCTTCCACGTCTTTCAGGTTTTGGTTGCCATTTTAAAGCATTTGCCATCATTTTAGCTGAGCAGCCGATCATTTTCTGCACTTCTTTATATGTTTTCCCCTCTCCAATCAACTTTTTAATCAAGGTACGCTGTTCTTCTGAACAATGTCTGGAACGACCCATTTTCCTCAGAATTTCAGAGAGAAATGCACTGTAACCAGCATGTCCAACATTTGCTGCCTTCCTTCCTTAAATAAGGGCAATAATTGCCACCTGTTTATCAAAGAATGAATGACCTCACTAATAGAACTCCACACGGCTATTATTGTGAACACGCCCCTCAATGAGTGATTCAATGACACAGAATCAGCAGCATGCATGTCATGACTGTCGGGTCTGTTGGATTTCTATGACTCTACTACACCTGCTAGGAAATTATTTGCCATGTAGAAATATCATTTCTACCAAAAACAGTGATTGATCCGGTTAGTGATGTCTGACTGCTATTATTTTGCTCCCACAAAATGTGCCTTGCCCCCCCCATAGTGAGCCCTGCTCCCCCATAATGAGTCCTACTCTTGTGTAATGGGCCCTGCTTCCCTCTGATGTAGTGTGCCCTCCTGAGCCCCTGTACCCTTCTTTCCTGCGCCCCCCCCCCCCCCCCACCACACACACACACACATTGTGTATCTCAGGTTGGACCCAGAAAGCTCTCGTGTCCTATGAAATCAATACGTATTCATATATATTTTTATTTAATGCCATTTCTAAAACAAATTGTTATTCTCAACATCTTGCTGATCCCACCGATGTTCTGTGAGCTGCAGATGTGAACATTATTTCAGGGATTACCCGAGAAATTTTTGCCAGGGGTTCCTCGAAAACAGATTGAGAAACACCAGTCTAACATTACCCCAGCTTTGGGGACCAGGGACCTGAACACTGCTGTGCTCGGGCTGCCTTAAGAGCCCCGTCCCTCAGCTTGGGTGTAACCATTCTGCAGCTCCACCTGCCAGCCAATGAGGAGTGACATTGCATTCATACTCGTCACCCTTCCCATCCACAGGACAGTGATATCAGTGCTGGGCCTAACAAGGAGGGGCACTCCACAGGACAGCATTATCAGTGCTGGGCCTAACAAGGAGGGGCACGCCACAGGACAGGATTATCAGTGCTGGGCCTAACAAGGAGGGGCTCTCCACAGCACAGCCCTATCTGTGCCGGATCTACAAGGAGGGGCGCTCCACAGGAAAAGATTATCAGTGCGGCAGAGGAGGAGCTAGTGGCAGTTGGCACCTCATGTCTTGGCCTGCAGGTAGTATGTACTGTATTTGCGCTGTCAGCTTATAATTTACTTTTTTCCACCCTCCAACCCCCCCCCCCCAGACCTAACACAGAGGAGAGAGTTACGGGTTACAACACACCTAAATTGTTAGCCCCACTTCACAACTGCCAATGGCTGCCTTACCCATCCCCCAGTTCATTTTTATTGAATGATTTTCCCCATTATGGGTGTGAGTGGGGCCACATACAGGGATAGGGGGTGACAAGGAAGTAAGCCTCACAAAGCCTAGAGCCGCCTCTGCAGGAGTGGTGCTCATGTATACAATCCACCATTGGGGTCACATACAGGGATAGGGGGTGACAAGGAAGTAAGCCTCACAAAGCCTAGAGCCGCCTCTGCAGGAGTGGTGCTCATGTATACAATCCACCATTGGGGTCACATATAGGGGATAGGGGGAGACAAGGAAGTAGGCCTCACAAAGCCTAGAGCCGCCTCTGCAGGAGTGGTGCTCATGTATACAATCCACCATTGGGGTCACATACAGGGATAGGGGGTGACAAGGAAGTAAGCCTCACAAAGCCTAGAGCCGCCTCTGCAGGAGTGGTGCTCATGTATACAATCCACCATTGGGGTCACATATAGGGATAGGGGGTGACAAGGAAGTAGGCCTCAGCTATCAAATACATACATAAATACTACGTAACTGCTGCTATAAACATTCTGGGTCAAACCCGAGTCCTGGGACCTTTTTAAGAAGCCAAAACAAGCAAGCTAGAAATGTTTTCTGACCATGTGGGAACGTATGGCAAAGGTCGCCCTGCACCTCGTTTGTTGTTCGGTTATAATGTGCCGTGCCATACTTGGTCATTTATTCCAAACTGGATCCGGTGATGAGCTGCTAACATCTAACAATGATGGCCAACCATGTGTGTGTCTCCTACACAGTATACATAACTGAAGGGAAATGTATGTCTTTTAGGTCTGTCATTTTGTTTTCCTCCACTCCATTTTATATTTTTGTACTAACATATTGATTAATTGTTTTGTATTATACCCAGAATGAGTTAATGAAAATATGCTGTCAGTTATGTGTTATAGAACTGTACTCACAATATTCTTCTTCTATTTTTTTATCTTAAGCTTAGCCTTGGTAGAGGAGATAGTATTCAATTATTTGTATTAACAGCACCTGTTTCTGTTATGATATAATTAAAAGTCAAATACTTCTGTCCCATGAGAAAATAATTGTTGGATACTTGTAACTGATTTCAAGGCCTGAGAAAGTCATGTTCATAGCCTTGACAAGTATCTAGCGAGATTCTATTGTATGTAGTAGATAAGTGTTTTAAAACAATTTAGAAACTTTTATTCCTGGGAAAGTGAAACTCCACTTCTCATCACTTTTCAGAATTGACGTCAATGTTTGTCTTTTTGTATTCAGCCAATCAATTACTGACAACTCAGCTTTTTGATACTCTGTGCCCCCCACCTTTCTTTTTTCTGTTATATTAATTTTCTTCCCGCTAATAAACTTGAGAGATTGATTTCAACTACCACTGTGTGTATGTGTATGTCTGTTGTCTTTTCTGAGATGAAGTCAATCTCCCCGACGCGTCCGTACCTGAAACCGACTATAAAGACTGATAGCCAGGGGCTATCGACAACCTTTCAATTGGAGGTCCCACCGAGATCGGGAGGTCAACCCGTTTGCGGTCACTCGGTAAGATAAACAAAATCTGTCTGTCTGTCCGGCTGTCCGTGGGCTCTGACTTAACTCTCGATCTCTGAATTGTGACAGGAGTATTCCGGGAATACTTCATTGAGTCTCCGGGAGACTCAGATAAGGAAAGGTGATTTATGTAGACGGGGTCTACATTTGAAATACCTAGACAGGGTCTAGGTATAATTACAGAGTCTTAACGAGTCTGTTGAGGGTAACCAACTTTCTTTTCTTTGCTTCTTTTATCAAATGCATAGAGTATAAGATAATTTGTTTATGCAAATAAGTGAACCCGGTTGGTAAGTGAATGGGTCAAAGTCATTGAAATAGAGTCAATATTTAAGTTCTTACTGTCTATCTTTTGTTGAGAGTGATAAGTGGTCACGTGTTACTAGACCCGCTCCGTACTGTCAGCTCCGTACTGACAGAATATATCTTTCCTTCTCCAAAGAGGACGTGAATTTTTTATTGCAGCACAGCAGAAAATCCAACCCACAGCCCCATCCCTGTCCCAGTCTAGGACGCGGTGGAAGACCAACCTGAACCCCCACCCAAGGAATTCCTGATTCCTCACAGGATGAGGAAACCTTTTCTGCTGAAGGATTAAAAGAGATATCAGGGTCCCTATTAGTAGATTTGGCAAATAAAGCAGGAATATGTTAAATTTTCAGTCCTAGGAAGGGCAGGTAGAACCAGATACAAGGTGGTGACACAAACCAAGGAATATCCATTTCTCACTGTAAGAGACACGTTAATAATTACATGTTTAGAAATAGAGGACATTGACTGTATTACAAAATATTGTTCTGTTGGTGTTTGACATTCCATCTTTTTTACAGCCATACCGTCTGATGCTGAATGTTTTTCAGTAATT